TAAATCCATAGTTTATTTGAACATTGGATTACAATTTAGATGAGTGTCCAACCACATAAATGAAGAGCTCCTATGAGGTTGAAACAATGTGGAACAACCATCTAGATTCATACAATAATCATACCAAGTCATGTAACCCGAGTAGTTTGTAAGCCATGTTTGAACATGGTGCACATATGTCTCTATTGAGCTTCCTACTATCCTCCCATATATGAGATAGTTAGGATTAACCCAACTAGTAGGTCCATAATCTGTTTCATCATCTTGAGCTCCATATTTAGTTCCACTATAATCAGACATGACATAACCATAGCCATCATAAGATTCATTTAAGTTAGTACTAGGTCTAGATTCTTTTGATGCATACTCCAAAACATCCTTTGAATTGAATATTGCCAAAAGCCTTCACGCATATATCTAATCACTGCACATATACCTCCAAAAAATCTTTTCAGTTTCAATTTGTTTCAAAACTTTTGAATTGTTTTGGGTGTTGTTATGGGTATCGGGAAATATCGGGAATATCGACAAAATATCGGGGATATCGCACTTATCGGAGATATATCGTCGATATCGGGGAAGATATGGCCTTACCCCCCAATATCGGTGTTGACAGTTCAAAATATCGATATATCGACCGATATTTCAATCCTTGCATAAAACGCCTCTAAAATCACGACCTCCACACATGTGAATGACATTCACACACATGCTATCTGTCTAATCAAATCCTTGCACCTGTCTAAAAATCGCATGGCTCAGATAGTTAGGGGTATCTACGAAATTAACAGAAAATCCGCGGGCTATTTCCGCCACGCGGGGACTATAACAGCAGGGTAAACCGTACCGGAGGTTCGGTAGAGAGACTTCTGTGTTCTCTCCCAAGCTATTTCTTGGTCGTTTCCTCACACTCGCACCACACACACACACACACACTCGCTTCATCTCTGGTCGTCTTCAATCTTTCTAGGGTTTTATAAATTTGGACTTTGAGCTCCCAATTCGCCATCGCCTTGATTGAATTGTGTATGTGTATCAAGATGGAGTCTGATAATTCGTGGAGCAGTCTCTTCTCGAGCTCTTCGTCGAGGCGGTACCAATCTCGATCCGGTCACTTTTCCCAAACTACCGCAGGTTTGGGTCATTTTTCTTGTTTTTGGTGTTTTGTGAATGTGTTTGGTGCTGATGGTTGCGGGTGTTGCAGATCTGTTTGCGCACGACGAAACTGATGGAGACGATGAGTTAAAGGCCGAGTTTTTGTGCCCTTTTTGCGCCGAGGATTTTGATGTTGTTGGGCTTTGTTGCCACTTCGATGAGGAACATCCGGTGGAGGCTAAGAATGGGGTATGTAATTCAATTTTTTGAATTTAGTTAATTTTGAAGTTTTGCACTCTTAATCGATTAGTTCCAGCTGGCTTTGCTTTTAGAAATTTGGAAAAGTACGAGCTCTCAAGGTTTTCTTTTGTTTTTGCTCTAGAAATTTTAGTGTTTTCCCCTAGAAATGTTAGTGTAAGCATTTTGATAGTCGTTCAGTTCTCAATTTATCTTAGAAAGGAACATTTTATTTGCATAATTTACGAAGAAACTCATGATTCTGTAGAGATTGAGCGAACTTCAGGGGAGGAAATCTATCATTGTGATAGCATCAAAGGGATGCTAGTGGTTTACTTGGTTTTTTGTCATTTGGCTGTGGTTTTGAATGGGTTTGGTTGAGTTGGACTTCCCTTTGAGTAGGTTTGAGTTGCAACTTAGAGGTACTTTCATGGAGGTGGGTTTGTAATGACTGATGATGGGGTGCATGGGGCAGATGATGGTGAGACAAGAGGGTTAGTCATCTTAGTATTTGATTTTTGTTTGAAGCCTTTTAGAAAGGCAATGTTGGAATTTTCCTTGTTAGTGTTGTGCGTGGTATGCTCAACACTAGACTGGTATATGGGCTTGAGTGTGACCTATGGCTATGAGCTAGTCTGTAGGAGCTCGGTTAGTCAGGTCAACCTTGTAGTTATCTTTCTTCATTAATGTACTGATAGTTAATCTTGCATGTGTAATTGTTTTCTTAAATTGAATAAAAAAGGAAGGAATGGTTCACTTGGGTTGTTTATGAACGTGCCCATTGTTACTATTTATAATTTTCCTTTCTCTTGGATTGTTTATGAACTAGCCTATTGTTATTGTTTTGAATGTTCTGCTTTTTTTTCTTCCAGGTCTGTCCAGTTTGTTCCAAAAGGGTGGGAGCAAACCTTGTGAGCCATATTACCACGCAACATGGGAGTTTGTTAAAGATATCCTTTGGTGAATTTCACTTTAGTTTTGAATTTTTCCATGCTTGGTTTGGTTATCATTTACATACATGCTTATTATATCTATATCTAGGGGGTTGTTTTTGTTATCAAATGAACACTTTTGAAAGAAATAAGTGTGATTTAGAAAAGCCCGCTTTTGCTGTATTTGATTTTAATTGCAGAACATATGGGTATGACAGTTAGAAATGGTTGTTTCTTAAAAAATACGGCCTTTATCTTCGGTTCACTCTTGCATATTTTCATGTATCTGGCCAGCACACTGACTAGTTATCATCAGTGTTGTTGAGTATCACCTTCACCTTGTTCCCTTTGTTAGACTCTTCATTTGCACCAGTCACTCCTATTCTAGAATGGCCATTTATTGCATCAAAACTTGGATAACTTTCACTCCCATGTTTATTTATGTTTTGGTCATATTTCCTTTTGAAGTCTGTAGTATAAAGTGATGTGTTCCTTGACACTATAGATTACGTTCAGCGCAAGAGGAAATTTCGCAGGGGATCCAATTCAACATTCTCTTTATTAAGGAAAGAGCTTCGAGAAGGAAGTTTACAAGCCCTTCTCGGAGGTTCTTCTTTCCTTGTTTCTTCAAACACAGAAGCTGATCCT